AGCCTCAGTAAATTCATTGCATTACCTCGGTAGGAACGACAACTTCGATAGTATACCAGGGACTCCTGTTCTCAGTTTCGCTTGACTGACCGCAGTATGTTTGTGTACAAAACCATTGTAATAAACTGTGAAAAAACTAGGCTTAGTAAATTCCGAGAATCTTTTTGGCTCTGGCTCTCCGTCTATTAGAGCAACAGGACGAGAGGGGCGATAGAAGTGTGTTGGGGGGGTGACCTGGATTAGTGGATTAGGGCAGGGTCCAGTGGGTTGAATGTTTGCCAGATTCGGGATTACTGTAGTCACAAACATCCCAAAATTCGGCGTGCAGGGATTCACTCTGTTTTGATAGAGTTTCAGGATATACAGGGTGTCACAAATTCGTGGCTAAGCTGGGGATCTCGGTAACCTCAAGAGATACAGAGTAGGTTATATCAGGGCAAAGTTTCATGCTCAACAAAATGCAGCTTTGAAATTGACCAAATTTCAGATATTCCTGGAGATATCCGGAAAGAAAGAAAATATGTAAATTCGTTTTTATTTATTACCTACTCAGTTGATTTCAACAGATATTTCAGAATAAATGTCTTTTCATCATTGCCACTTTTGCTCCTCTACAAAATGGAATTGTCAAATTGAAAATCCGACGTTTCTTCTTCGAGTGGCCATCATCAACTTCATTTTTACTTCATTTCCGATAGTTTTCGATTTCCTCGATATGATGAGATACCAAAACAATTGAACAAATGAATTGTTTGAAAAACGCTAAACGCTCCGCCTCGCAAATGCAAAATTCGCTTGTCACTTTTGATCCTAATAAAACAATCTACTATTTTTTCATTCCCAAAAACTGAAATACAATGAAAAATAGTCTCAAGATCTCCATATGGAGCTCAGATTCAACAATCTCCTTAGTTCACTATCAAAATCATGTTTACTGGACGGAAGCAATGTTCAACTTTTTCAATAACATATTCAAACTGAACATCTGTGCATTGTTGCATATGTATCCCCAAAGAGAGTTCGTTGGAAACTTTGAAAAACATTCTGCTCCATAAATATTTCTGAATATGTTGTGAAATGACATGTCTATGAGAAATTTATTGGATTCCTGTAAAGCCAGATATTTTAATACTTCGCGGAGAAACTTCTGACGAAATCCTAACGTTTTATTGAAGTATAGCAAACGGTTCCTCACCTTCGTGAAACAGTTCAAGCTTCAGCATATTCGCCAGTGGCGTAACACGAATATATATTTTGAATTGACTCGGCCGTTACTTGATGGAGATCCATGGCAAATGAAAACAATTCACAAACGATAAGATTTCCACAAAATTCTCAGACACACGACATGTTTCGCTAACACAGTAGCTTCGTCAGGCACTGGTACGATGAACTACACTATCATTGGCTTGCTTAAATATCCTACTTTCCCAACCTGAAGGATTAGTTACCTGTGGACAGGTTCGATATGGGTTCGATAAACCTCCATTTTCGGAAATTAGGCACAATATCTATTAACGACTATTCTTGCAATATTATATGCAATTCAGGTTAATAAAGATTTTCTATTATATTTTCGTAAATTAAAAGTTCTCTCAGTGTCAAAATTATTTATTATTGTAAATGTCATTTCTTTCTCGTTTTTCTCAGAGATAACATGATATAAATCTCATAACAGGGTGAAACAAATACTTACATGAAATAATGTAAGTACATTGAAACATAACATTCTCCCATCCAGTAATTGACCTGGGATATAGGCAATTACTTCTTCACATCCAGTACAATAAATCTTATACATGTCGTCGATATACAGTTTGATTGGAAATTTTCACATCAACTTTTCTGATTTTTCCATCTTTTGCTGGGTAGACTTTGATAACTACAGCTTTCTTCCATGAATTTCGACGTTTCACCCTGTTATGTGATTTATATCATGTTATCTCTGAGAAAAACGAAAAAGAAATGACATTAATGATAATAAATAACTCTTACACTGAGAGAACTTTCAATTTACGAAAATATAATAGAAAATCTATATTTACCTGAATTGCATATAATATTGCAAGATTAGTCGTTAATATTGTACTTACATTATTTCATGTAATTATTTGTTCCACCCTGTTATGTGATTTATATCATGTTATCTCTGAGAAAAACGAAAAAGAAATGACATTAATGATAATAAATAATGTTGACACTGAGAGAACTTTTAATTTACGAAAGTATAATAGAAAATCTATATTAACCTGAATTGCATATATCCCAGGCAGCAAGCTGACGTCATTTTGACGTGAATTTTTCGTCAGCCCGGACGTCATTTCGACCTAATGAATGACGTCATAATGACGGTAGGATGACGTGATTATGTCACAGCCCAAAGACGTCATTTTGTAACGTTATTTTGACGTGATATTTCGACGTCAACTGGACCATTGGGGTGACGTCAGTTCGACGTTCAGAAGACGTCAATTCGACGATAAGTTGACGTGAATTCGACGTACTGTTCACGTCAATTCGACGTCAGGTGGACGTCATTATAACGACTTTTTTTCGTCATCTTAGACGCCTCATTGACCTAAAAGATTACGTTTTCATGATAGAATGACAGATGTCTTTCAATATGAACACAATCACTATATTCAAAAATGGAATACATCTGGCAGTTAACTTGACTTGAAGCACTGGTAATAATTTCTATGGTGACAGATTAGCGTAGTAGGAAAGGCCTGTAAATAAGAGCAAAATCAGAGGGAAAAAATAGCTTTACTTATCGAATGCATAAGTGTTGAAAATATATAGAAGTAATTCACATTTTTAATAAAAAAAGAAAACATATTCAAACTGAATGTAACATAGGGAATGAAACAAGAACTCCTGAAATTGTGAGAATCATACATTTATGTGAAATATCTTTCATGTTCCAATTTTCTAAATCTTCTGATAAATTTTCTACAATGTAAATACCAAACGTTGTGGATTCTATAGGGTATGTATAAAAAGATTTATAACTTCTGAATCGTTTTCCGATTATAACTGTTTGACCATCATCTTGTTTCACTAAAATATTATGTATTTGAATAATAACATTATCACTTACTGAACAATACGAGTTGCCACTGCTATGAGAGTAAATACAATAAGTACATTCATTGAATAACAATTTTTTGAACTGTTTGTAAATGGGACTATAAGGTCCAGTAGTATGTATGATACAATACTCAATTTTATTTTGGAATGAAATGTCAATATTGCCGAAGGATTTAATTTCATTAATCCTGCGAAAAATTTGTTGCAATGGTCTATTTGGTGTTTTGATTAACTTTTTTAGTGTACCTAAATAAGATTCAAAAACAAAAGCAGAAAAAGTGTCCAGAGGTCCAAAATGATCTGTATCTGCACTCAAGTGACACAATGTATGTACATTGTACACGTAAAATTGTTCCCCATATATTTTTTCACAATGAATAACAAAAGTTGTTAACAGCTCATTTGCAAATTGTGAACCAATATTTTTCAGGTGGGTGTTTGATATGAGAATTAATATTCCACAATGCAACAAGAGAAAATGTTCATAAACTGCAAGAGAGACAAGATCTTTGAGAACAATAGGACCTGTATAGAGCAGAAAAGTTCTGAATTCAGTCGCTTTCCAGCGGGCTAGTTCAGACAGTTCTCTGGGTTTTCTGTTAATTTCAATAGGGATATATTCTCTCAGAGAAATTAAACGTTTTGATATGACATTAACCTCTTTACTACCTAATCTATTTGTTAAAGGGCCACTGACCCATGCATTCAACAATTTTTTCATCACACCAAGGCAAACAGAATGCATATAATCAATTGGAAAACATGATACTAACCCAATTTGCAAGTCAACTAGAGGTGATACACCCATATGGTGTTCTTCATCATCCTGTCTCAAAAATGAAGCATCTGTTCGCAGCATAGATGATGTTCCTTTTAGAATGACACGGTTAGCAACATATTCACCTTCTTCAACACATTTATCACATGACGAGTATCCTCCATGTGATTTCACAGATTTAATATAAGACCTGGCTGGTGCATCACATATAAAGCTATGAAATTGAATTGAATAATGTACGTCTCCAAAATAAAAACCTTCTTGTGATAGAAGTTTCAACTCTTTGATGAAATCCTCTAGATATTTATCCAGAGGCTGGGGTTTGGATTTTCCACAAAATATTCCTACAACAAATGGACGGAATTTAACATGATGTACTATACGTCCTAAAATCGGCCAGAACTGAATATTGCTACTATGAAATAAAGGGATACCATCTATGTTGAAGCTCAACTTAATTTTATATTCTGGGAAAATGTTTGATGGACAGAGTGATAAATAACTGAGTAAGTTATCAACAAGACCAAAATGGGTATATTCACCACTGTCTAATTGTTTGATGATTTGGTTAGTAGAATTTTTTAGTAAAGACCTACAGTCCAGTGGCAACTCAGGGTGATATGCAGCAAGAACGTGTAATAAGTCGGTGAAAGCCACTTGTGTTATCCTGTGATTGATTGACCACTGCAATAATTGAGTTTTCAAATCAGTAGAAATGTCCCTAGAATTATTATTTGTAAGTGATTGCCGAGAATTACAATTCAAATCAATGATATTCAAGTCACAATCAATGTCATTTGACCGACTATAGAACTCGTTATCTAAACTATTAGATGTTAATTCACATACAGGAGTATTTCTGGGAGATTTTAGATAATTTTTATCACTATCATAAATATCATTACTCACTGCCGAAGTACAAGTTGCTCTATTTTCTTTAATACTGAATGAATTTTCATTTGTGGAAGTTATCAAATTAGCAACTTCTACTTGTGCTCTCCGGTATATTTGTCTTTTGCCAATGATATTTGTCTTAGAACAATGCATTTCAAAAGTGAAAATGAAGAATGATAATAAAAAAGCAACTCAAAACAACTCAATTCAAGAAATATTCACTCTTCACAACCAGCTCTCAATGAGCATTTTTCTTCATCCAACGTTGTGGTGCATGCTTTAGCCAGACTTTGATTATTGCTTCTACTTGGGCATTGGTCGCACTTTCAGTTTTTTTTACTGCTCCTGCATAAAAAAATCAACCTTTAATATTAAATACCTACTTTAGAGAAACAATTACTTACTTACTATACAATCACTCAAAGAAAGTTCACAAAATGGTCTTTTTTGTCTTTTTCCTCGAAAATTGAAGGATGTTGCCAGCTGGTCGGTAAGTAAATGTCTCAAAATATTGTTGGTTTTGGACGTACGATCTTTACCACCCAGAGTAGATAGGTAGGATACCTTAAAATAATGCAGAACATAAATAAACAACATAATGCCATGTGAAATAAAAATTGATATTTCTGAGAATAATTTGGCCAACCGATAAAATGGAAGTTGTTTATTTTATTGAATTCTTCCTCAAATTTCACTCACCATTCCAGACAAGTTTACATCAGATTTCAGGAAAATTTCCAGTTCTTCGATTTGTTCTATTTCTTTGAGAGGTATTTCTATTGGTAAATCATTCGGCAGTGTTCCTACTTCTGGAGGTTTTTTATTCAAATGATTCAGGATCTGCTCATTCTGTTCTTTAATGTGATAGAGCAAAGACAGTATATTGCGATCAAATCCTACAAATTGATATACAATTACTGTTGATAATGACATTGAAAGAACTTTTTTCAGTACTTCACTGATCACATGTCAATAGATTTTTCAATTCTACCATCCTATACCTAAATTTCAGCACTCCTGATTACTTTTGTTATGTCATTCGGTTTGAAAAATATTTCTTTTAATTCAATTTGATGCAGTTTGATGAAAATGCTCATGATTCTGATGTAATTTGATGAAAAATGCACATGTGATGTAATTTGATGAAAATGTTCATAATGATGCCATTTGTAATCAATGAGTTTTTGAAGGTTTCTACTCCTTTTTTTGAAGAAAATATATAGTTTCAATAATAATTTTTCATATTCAACAAGACAATCTAATACTTATTCAATACCAAAAACAGGACCACCCTGAATTACAAAATATGTGATGAAAATTATGACAAATTAATACTAGAAGTAATTGAAAAAATAATGCTTCTATGGAGTAGAAACCTGCAAGAATTCAATGAAATTCAGGTAATGAATGATACAACTGAGAAATGTAATATCTCTAGTATACCTACACAATCTTAGAGCTCTATCTATCAAGGATATTGAAATATTCAAGATTTTCATTTAAAAAATGTGAATTTCAAGACCTTATCTCAATAACAAATTATTTTAGAGCATATGTTCATGGAAAGGAATGATATTATTTCATTGATTTCTATTGATCCCTGGATTATAAGTCATTTGAACTCAATCCTCAATCACCTTATATTATTTGATTATTATAGTGCATTGAACTGATAGAAGACAACTCTCAGTAGATTTCTTCCCAAATATAGGTTTTCAGTAATAACTATGCTATAAAAATTGGAAGGGAAGTTCAATAACTATCAACTTACCTAGACTGTTGTTGATGTTAGTATTAGTTCCAAGATTTGTTCTAACTGGGGTAACTTGTATTGATCTGCCAAGAGTGTGGGTATCATTGTTAGTAGGAGTAGAGCTTAATAAACTGAACGACGATGTTGGGGTACTTGTGCCACTTGATAGGACTGAATCAGGATTACTAGGTTTACAGGAATTTTCTGGAAATCATTCATCATAAAAATCAACCATCAATGTCTATAAATGACACCTTAATGTTTCAAATTCAGATCCATTTCAGTTTAAAAATGAGGTATAATCAAGTAACTACCTAGCTGTTTATTTTCAGACAAAAATGATTGTTCAGGATATTATACAGGGTGTTTCAAAATTCAGTATCAATATTCTAGGGGCTCATTTCTCAGATCAAAATAAGGCTTTTTTGTCTATATATAAACATGTGTCCGTGAAAGAATTTCATTATCACAATTAAAACAAAAAACGCTACATATTTAGTTTGTGATCATATTTACAAGTTTTCAAATATTACCTAAGGAAACTTGACTGTTCATGGCAGGTGATGAAAAATAAAAATATCTTGAAAGTTTAACCCTCTGTATGTCAGTAACGAAGCATTTAGGAATACATATTTATAGAAAAAAAGTATTATTTTGACCTGAAAAATAAGTCTTTGAAATCATGCTATGGAATTTTGAAACACCCTGTATTAATTCTATTCCTCCTCAAGAACTTATTGAAATCGTTTTTGACAAGTTGTTGGTATATACCTTGGGCATTGTTTGTGACAATGTGATGAAAACGTGGTGGGCGCTCTGGTATTTTTTTAATTTTCCTCAATGGTTCATCATCTTCACTGCTACTGAAATTTTTTTTAGCCCTCAGTTTTCTTCTTCTAATTGAATCTATATCATCAGATTCCAAGTTGGATGTGTCTTCAGCTTCAATACACTTCTTTTTTGCTTTTTCGAAGTCATCTAAAAATAAAAATGGTATGTTTGATTCAATCCTTTCTGCTACATAGCTATATTACAATACCTATGTTGATACTGTATTTCAAAAAATTAAGTTGAGGTAGATTGATAACAAAACATCAGGTGGATAATAAACTAATATTTCCATGAAGAGTAGTTTGCTCAATGAAGGAGATTTTTATTTATTTCAATATTCAATATTAATGGCCCTTTAGTTCTCCAACTAATTTCCTATTAACAAAAACTGTATTTAGCACCATTTATTTTGATATTCATTAGACAAAGATTCTTATCATGAACAAAGTTGTGAAGGAAATGAGTTTGGAAATGGGCATCCAATGCAAAAACAATTAGGTAGCATTCAATTCACAGAAATTCTTTATTAGAAATCATTCTCTAAGCACTTACCAGTTTCAAACATACAACGTTTCACTTCATGCAATGCCCAAGAGCCATTAATATGTGGATCTTGTTCTTTAATAATTTTATTGAAAACTTTCTGTTCCTTGCAAGGTGGCCAATAGGCCTCCTTTTTCATAGGTGTCAACCATGAACTGTTTATTACAGATACCCCACTATCCTTCCATTCAACAATGACAAAAGTCATCTTGGAAAGTTTCAACAGACTGGACTGTGTTCAGCAATCCAGTAAACTAACCTTAAAACCACATAAAAACATCATCAAACTGTCACCTACAGAATCGATTAAATGAATTTATTCTTATCATTGTTACCTCAATAACATGATAAGCGTGTATTTATAATGCACAATATACAATAATATTCAAAGTATGGTAATGGAGCCTCGCAAAGAACTAAAGCTGGATTTATGCACGACGCTTTTTCGTTACTCTTTCATTTCATAATCATCAACGTTTTCACTAACTTGTTGAAACATTGGTTAACAATATAACCATTTATACATCAAATTTGTCATTAATCTTTCATTAACTATTCGCTGAAAGATGACCAACTTTTATCTCTTAACGACAAATACAAATAAAACTGTGACTTGCGCAGGCGCGATTCTGTCAGAAGTCAGACAAACAATTTCTTCCTCTTCTTTTGCCAAAATGTGTTTGAAAATTCTGAAAATTCTAGTCGTATGTTCAAATTAGACTTCGAAAACAATATGAATGATTGATTTTTATTGTAATTATGTGATCACTGAATGTTCTAACACAAATATTTTCATCGGGCTATGTACGATGACGACTATGTTTTGACCAAGAAGAAGACTTCAAAATTTAAAAGTGGTGGTGCATAAAGGTATCATAGTCCTTAAATAAAAATAAACTTAATGACAATTAATGAAAGCAACAGATAAATGAAAAAGCGTTGTGCATAAATCCACCTTCACCATTGAAAAAGCACCAAATGCTCAAACTTCCAGAGCACAGCTTATGGCATTGAGCTGCGCCCAAGCAATGATATTAATAGGTCCACAGCACAGATTGATCACATATACACAAAAAAATTCAATGGGAACACTTATTACACTGTCACAGGCCAACTTATTTTACCAACGCTTATCATTTACAACAAATCAGCAAATGGCGGACGGCTGTGGAACAGCGAAGACAGTAGTGAACTAGTGAAGACGACCGACCGAGGAGGTCCGAACCCCCGGTATCGCGTGTCGATTACACCCGAACGTCGCACTTGCGTTGGGAACTGGGCGCAAATTAAAATGCATTTGGCGGTAAATTCGAATTTGTTAGCAAGTCTACAACAGATAATTTTCGAATGAGTGCTTCGAGTTTGATGAAAAAGTATCATTATTATTAGCGTAAAACACATAAAACGAAATGTATAGATATAAAGTTGATCTTTCATAATGACGCAAAAATGTCGTCAATCTAACGTCATGAAAATGACGTTCAAAACACGTTGAAGAAATGACGTCATAAATCACGTCATTTTTTGCCAATATGACGTCGCGGACCAAAAATTACCAAAAAAAGACGTCAAAATGACGTCAGCTTGCTGCCTGGGATGTATAATATTGCAAGAATAGTCGTTAATATCGATTTTCTATTATATTTTCGTAAATTAAAAGTTCTCTCAGTGTCAAAATTATTAATTATTATTAATGTCATTTCTTTTTCATTTTTTTCAGAGATAACATGATATAAATCACATGAAAGGGTGAAACAAATAATTACATGAAATAATTTAAGTACATTAAAACCTAACAATATCTACATTAAAATACGGTTTACCGGATTAACTTGAAAGGGTTGATAACTAATACATATTATTATCTACTAAGAAAACAAATGTCTAATGGATCGTTAAGTAAAATGTCAAAATTTTTGAGTTTGTTGATTTCTAATGATTCAAAATGAGTTTCATTTCTTTATTTTCTATGTGTAGAATTTCGAAATCGTCATCAAAAGTATGGTTTTCTTTTGATATATGGTTGGCGTATGTTGAATTTGTTTTCTTTTTTGAAAAAATTCATATCATGTTCATGAATGCGCTGATTATACGTACGACCTGTCTGACCGATATATACATTAGGACAAGATCCATAGTTGAATTTGTATACCCCTGATTTCTGGAATTTGAAAGTTTTGTCTTTATTATTCTTGATAAACCGTCCCAACGTGTTATTCGTACTATATGCTACTTTTATGTCCTGTTCATGTAGAATTTAAGCTAATTTTTCAGTTGGTGATCTAGAATAGGTTAAAGTTCCATGATTTTGAATATTATTCTTGATGGTAGGATGAACTTCTTGAATAGCCTATATCTTTGAAGGCAGGAAAAAAGATCTTACATTTTTTCGAAAAATATATAGGGTGTTCTATTGAAATTGGTACCAATTTCTTATATCAGCGATATTCATTCGTTTCATCTGGTATAATTTTCTGGAGGTTCAGAACAAACAATACAACTTCTGCATTCGGAGTTTTTCTCTATCTCCATTGATGAACCCTGTAGAAGCTGTTTGAATAAATACGGAATGACCCTGTACTCACGATATTATTGAGATAGAAGATCATATTTTAGGGATTTGTCTTCAAATGGGATGGTGTTTTCGTTTGTCAACTTTTAATTTATTTTGTGGTCATTTTATTTGGGGCACGTCACTGTGTCTAGCGCCAACTTGATTTAGGAAGCGCGACATCCACTTTAAAACTTTCTTCGAATTCGGTATGTTCGAGTGAATCAGAGGCAACAGGGAAAGGGGAAAACAAGAAAGTATCCACCCTCCCCCCTCCTCTAGTTAATTGTGAGCCGATTATATTCGTACAGTGTTGCCAGCAAGTGAGAATTGAATGGCAAACCTTTTTTGATCGAAATTAGCTAGAGCTAAACGGAGACCAAGACCAACATACTTGTTCTATTCCAGAACGTGTTAGCATGAACTTGCGTCAAGAGACTTGAGACTGGAGAGTATAATGGATAATGAAAACTCAATTTTTTTTATACACTACACTGTTTTACCACTAACCAAACCGATTTTTTAACGCCTCGACACGTGTTTCGCTAACTATGTTAGCATCTTCAGGAGAAGATTTAATCTTTTAGTTAGTGGTAAAACAGTGTAGTGTATTATCGTGCCAAAGGTTCCAGTCTTCGATATAATTTTTTTTATGTTCTGGTTCCCACACGAGAAGGGATATCCTGTAATGTTCAGATAACTACGTGAGAACCAAGGAATATGAGGTAGAAATTGGTGTTTTCCTCATATTTCTGGAGGTTATATGCCTCGGGGAACACCTCCCTTGGCAATGTGTTCCAGAGCCTCGCTGTTCGTTGGATGAACGAGTCTTTGGAAAAAGATGTTCTGCAGGTCTCCAAGGTGACCACGAAGGGGTGCGAAACCTCAACTCGACGAGTCAATCTCGCGGGGACTGCCAAGGGAGGAACAATCGTTGATATTTCAGAAGAGCATCGTCCATGAAAATATCTATTATAAATAGTGCCAGATCGCCAACTTTTTCACGTGTTCCAGAAAAGTGAGTGAGTTTGTGAGCAAGGCATCACCCAGAGACGAATTGCACTTTATTGGACAGAATCCAACAGTTTCAGGTTATGTTTGGGTGCCACACTCCAAATATGGGAACAGTATTTCAGGACAGGTCAGATCTGTGCCTTATAGATCATCAGCAGCTGACTGGAAGTGATATAGCTCCTGGCCCGAAACAGAAAACCAAGTTTTTGGGATGCACTTTTAGCAATGAATGTCTTCAAAGGTATGGTTACTCCTGACAAGCTTATGTTGCGCACAGTGAGATCGGCTTTTATCGAGACAAGGCATGCTAGTGTTTTGTTTGCATTGAAATCTACTGAGTTATTGGATCTTGTAACGTAAAATTTACCTTTTTCACTGCACCTGGTAGCTTTTCGTCGGCGGCATATGGGTGTGGGTTGATACCTTTGCTATTTCTCAGATATCTCAATATTTTAAAATCAATTACTAGATAATATCACCTTGACTGTGAATTTAATTAATATAATTAATTTTTGGACGCCACTGATTCTTTCAGAACATAGATAGTATGTCTAGGGTAAAATCAGAAACCTGTGGGTTGAGTTTGAAGAGAGAGAGATATCAGTAAAAACATGGAAACTTCAAAAATACAAACAATTTTAATGATGAAAAATTCCTTCATGAAATACATTAATAATTATATACATTATAGTAGAATATTATGGAAGCTCTTCAATTCCTGATGTTATCAGATATGATACTTATATGATTGACACTTTAGTTCAAATTCCTATAAACCCATTTTGAAGAATATTGTTATTGGACTATTATAATTGAATGATGTTGATTATACCCTGAAAATTCATGAATTTTGGGAGTCTTATTGCGCATTTTCCGCTATATGAGATATTTCATGTCCGCTGCTAATGGTTTTAGAAATTCAAGTAGGGTTTGAACATCCTGTGTGTTGAAATTTGAAAAGTTTTACCTCCATAATAATTGATATGTAAATATGTAAAAGTTATGCAAAATTAATAGTCAATGGACTTAATACTAAAAAACCTGAGTTATCCAATATGCAGTTATCTGCTAGATGTCGACGGTTACTGGACATGGAAGATGGTCACAAGATGGCGACATTGAAGGGCAGCTTCAAAATTGGTGTCTGGACGGATCACCACTGGCCAGGTTCGAGGAGACTCAGAAACCTGCGCCTACTGAAAAGATCCCATAGGGTAGGGAAGAAAAGACCATGGCCTTCAGGAATTGCATGGGGTTAAACGCTGCTGTTGACATCACCCATACTGATGAGCACGTGGATGTGCGGCATTCATCACTCCAACATAAAACCCTAAAATATATTATGGGGCGTATAGAGACCGCCTGGATCACTGATGGGGAGACAAAATAACTCACCTCTTTTGGATCGAGGGTTTCAACAAAAAAAACTGGATGGACATCGGGGAAAAGAAACGTGGCGATGACGGTTTGGTCGGCATGAGGGTCACGTGGTCGGGACGTCTGGATCTCTTATGCTGCATTTGGGCAACTCGGTTAGGCCCCATAAAGGTGAGCAGAATTAATAGAACCTTGAAGGGATGAAGATTTCCAGCATTGAAATGCTACCAAAAGATGTCAAGAAAAAAACATGGACTCACCAGCTA